CAACACATGAAAGAACACAGCTTGTCAAACCATTTCATGAGATCTTTAAAGGGTCATGAAACCCCAGACTACTTTTTCTGAGATTTTAGCAGAGGTGTTTGTGTTGCACATCATAGAAGACAATGTTAGCATCCGATAATTTTAACTGTTGGAGAAAACTGGTTAATTAGCTTTTTTTGCGCTATTTTCATCTTCCGGGTTTAAAATCTACATCGTGTTGACGTCACAATTTGTGACGTGGCAATGGACTATGGTACATCGATGACGAGTCGGTGTCTATTAAATTATTCATGAGACTGCGTGTTCTTATCCTATGAGAAGACGCTTCTCTTAATGTACAGCATGTGTTGATTTGCTATGACAGACGTTTCAGACTGAGAGATGACATCGCGCACATTAACTGAGAGAAACGTTTATGGATCGAAGAAGAGTGTTTGTTTTTGCTTAGTAATAAGTGTTCGGCACAAACGCGATTCATTCACTTGGTGAGCATAACCGTTTTTACAGCTCTGTGACACAACAACCCGTCAAAAGGCTTATATAAACTCCACAGAATAAGCCTTAAAAGTTCTCAGAGGTGCAACAGCGCGTTCATATATATGTTTTCGACACAGTGCAAATTATTATAATTTTTATTATTATTTTTAAATATGTCTGTACTTTTTAATAATTTTATTATTTGGTTATTTTTAGGGTTGGGAATCGAAAATCGATTCCGATTCCAAAATCGGATACTTGTCAAATAAAAATTTCGATTCCACCTATCGATTCCTTTGCACTTTTTTTCTTCATCAGTGAGACCTAGCGATCTGCCAGGACCTCGCTCGCTAATCTAAGCGCTCCAAAGTGTGGCTACATTTGCGATCAGAATCCAAAAAAGCTAAGTATAATATCTGTGAGTGCAAATTATTATAATTTTTATTATTATTTTTAAATATGTCTGTACTTTTTAATAATTTTTTATTATTTCGTTATTTTTAGGGTTGGGAATCGAAAATCGATTCCGATTCCAGAATCGGATACTTGTCAAATAAAAATTTCGATTCCGCCTATCGATTCCTTTTGCGCTTTTTTTCTTCATCAGTGAGACCTAGCGATCTGCCAGGACCTCGCTCGCTAATCTAAGCGCTCCAAAGTGTGGCTACATTTGCGATCAGAATCCAAAAAAGCTAAGTATAATATCTGTGATAGCTAAACATGTTGCAAGAGAGGTGTCACCACCAACATGACAAAGCACTTTAATTTAATAGATCGTTAAAGATCGCGAACACGATTCAAACACCAATGTGATTCTATTCCTAAATTACAGTGATTCGTCTGTTTCATTCCTCAAACTCTGACGTGTGCAATCAATGTTGTGATCACGTGGTGTAAACCGTGTACGATGGTAGCGATTAAAATAGAGTAAATCACCTTTTGAAAGTAATTTGACACTACAAATGAAGATTTATCGATTACATTGTTACGCCAGTAGGTGGCGAAAAGGGGCTGTTAAAATGTCTTTGTCTTTGAATCATACAAGAGATTCGTTCAAGAACACGGATTCAGATTCAAACACCAATGTGATTCTATTCCTAAACTACAGTGATTCGTCTGTTTCATTCCTCAAACTCTGACGTGTGCAATCAATGTTGTGATCACGTGGTGTAAACCGTGTGTAAGATGGTAGCGATTAAAATAGAGTAAATCACCTTTTGATAGTAATTTGACACTACAAATGAAGATTTATCGATTACATTGTTACGCCAGTAGGTGGCGAAAAGGGGCTGTTAAAATGTCTTTGTCTTTGAATCATACAAGAGATTCGTTCAAGAACACGGATTCATCCAGTAATGAAACAAGTACGTCTTGAGTGAGTCATTAATTCATAAATTACATGTGATTTTGTTTAGTTGTCTAATGTTTTTTTCTTCAGAATCATGAGAAAACCACAACTCCATTGGGGGAAAAAAATTAAATAAAAAAAATTAATCCAGAATCATACAGTCCTATTTTGCACACAAACAGCTCTTAAAGAGTCTAGTTTTTATTTAGCCTGTGGATTTTTGTTCATGGTATTCCGCTCCAATAAATGGTTTGCAAAAAAGAGACCCAGGATAAATGTTTGATATCATTATTTAATCACATTGGAATCGATAAACAGAATCAGAATTGATCAAATTTAAACGATACCCAACCCTAGTTATTTTGGTACGTCAATTTAAGCAAAAGTTTAACAAAATTGAAAATAAAAATAAGTGTTATTTATTCATTTATTTTATATTTAAAATATAAAATTGTGACCCTGGACCACAAAACCAGTCTTAATTGCTACAAATATACACTGGGGTATATCTGTAGCAATAGCCAAAAATACATTGTATGGGTCAAAATTATAGATTTTTCTTTTATGCCAAAAATCATTAGGATATTAAAGGGGTCATATGATGCTGCTAAAAAGAACATTATTTTTGTGTATTTGGTGTAATGAAATGTGTTTATGCTGTTTAAGGTTAAAAAACACATTAGGGAATAATTGTCGTCTTTATGCAGCGTTTTAAAACTGCGGGTAAATGAAGCCTGCTTTTGGAGGAAGCAGAGCTGTGTGTGTAGTTGTGTGAATGCGACTAATGTGTTTGTGCTTCTGCCTGTGAAAGTGTGAATGCAATGAATGTGTGTGTGTGTGTGTGTGTGTGTGAGAGAGAGAGAAAGAGATTGTGAATGAATGTGTTTGCTGTTGTGGAGGTTAAAAAAATCCAAGTAAGAGCGAAATCACTGAGCCTGCCAAAATACTGCCTTGTTTCACAAGCCAAAGTAGTTTAATTGATTAACTAACCATTTATGCTGGGGCCTAATTGTTGAGTTTTAGCACGGTTGTAGTTGTATTAAGCTCCCTCTATGAGTCACTCCAGTCAGATGCTCTGTGTTCAGATAACCACTTTGAACTTTTAACCAGACTGTTGTACAAATGTACAAAAAAGGACTGTGAAGAGAAATCAATATAAGATAAAGGAACGAGTTTCTGTTACATGTACAATACCCTTCAAAACTTTGGGGTCAGCAAGATTTTTTTTTAATAAAAAATTAAATGAATACTTTACAAATGTGACTAACAACTTTTATAACGTTAAAAAGGATTTATTTTAATTAAATGCTGTTCTTTTGAACTTTCTATTAATCAAAGCATCCTGAAAAAAATATATCACCATTTCCACAAAAATGCAAGAAAAACACTGATAATCAGAAGAAATGTTTCTTGAACAGCAAATCAGCGTATTAAAATGATTTCAGAAGGATTGTGACACTGAAGACTGAAATAATGGCTGCTGAAAATTCAGCTTTGCCATAATTTGGAATGAATTATATTTTAAATTATATTACAATAGAAAACAGTTATTTTAAATAGTAATATTTCACAATTATACAGTTGTTTTTTTTCCGGTATTTTTGGTCAAATAAATGCAGTCTTGGTGAGCATAGACTAAAAATCTAAAACGTTAAAAATAATCTTTCCAACCCCAAACTTTTAAACACTAATGTACATTTACAGTTATATGACAGATGTTTTTATGCAAATAACTTTTTTTAATCATGTGTGTTCTCTGGGACTTGAACCCATGACCTCTGTGTTGTTAGATGATCATTGACTTTGACGACAACATTCACACAAAAGCTGTCCTCATACAGCATGAAACATACAAATAATACGATATTACGACAAGTTTACAACACACTGAAAGCACAAAAAGTTTCGTTTTTTCTATTATAAAAGATAAAAGATGGCCCTGTCCGGATTTGAAATCTTCTGGACTATGTTTCTTCGTTTCTTAGAGAGACCATTTGTCTTTCTTTTGGGATCCTTAGAATTCCAGTCTGGCAGAAGCCTTTGAAAATTTGGTAGCCCAATTTGGTAGGTGCCTCAAATATCATACAGATTATTCGAAGGAAATCAAGTACATCAACTTTTTTCTTATAATGGGGTTATTGGAGGAACAAATTCAAATAAATAACAAATACAAATAATTCAAATCAAACGACAGTAGTTTATCAGTAATCCTAAAAAATAACACTGCCAAACTTACACGCTAAAAAACAACAACTTACACATAGTAAGAAATGGTTATAAAAACTGAAACAGAAGTGAAACAAGTAGTAGGAAAGAGGAAATTAATGACTTGAACATTTTTAAACATTTCTCCTTTTGTGTTCCACAGTAGGTGCAAAGTCATGTTTGGAACATGATGGATGATGAGTAAACAATTACGTGATAAAGCAATAAGCCCGCTTCGCGTCGTGCCTAACATGCCCCTTAGCTGTTATAAATTCACTGTAAACCATGGCTTCACGGTGCTTATTGCTTTTATAAAACGGTTTCACAAAATAAAACAGAGCAAATAAAGTGTAATGATATGAATAAAAACAGTATTCTTCCAACAAACAATGTAGTTCCTCAGAATCAGTTGTGGTTGCAAAGTGGTTGCCAAGCAACATGCAAACGGAAAAAAAAGGTGTATGTTTGTAGAGTAATTTACAACAGCTTCGAACGTGGCTCAGCCAATCAGAATCAAGGACCGGAACTATCCGTTTTATCATTTTCATTTTTTGATTAATCATTCCCTTAATACAGGGGTTCCCAATCATTTAACTTTTTTTTGTAAGCCAACACGCAATATTTACTTTAAGTAACCCCTGATAAGTTAATATTTTAATAATTTATTGACACATTTGCATATTCACGGTTCTCTGATGTTAATGGTCACATGGCATGCAAGAAAACATAACATATTCAATCTTTTTTAGTGTTTGTTTAGTTGTATTTAATAATAATAATAATAATAGCAGTACTGCAAAGTACAAAAAAAGATAATTATAACAATCTTATTTTACACTACAAGTTACAAAACTAATATTTATGTTGAAATTCTTCAATTCAATTCTTCATTAGCCTACAAAGCCCTTGCATTTCCTTTACGAACGCCCATTTGGAGAACCCTGTCTACAAAATGCATGATTGTCTGTAATTATTGATTCAAAATGCACTCTGAGAGATCACCTGAGTTATGGCCACGGTGGTGATGATGGTGGGACAGGTAGGGTGATGGGTACGGGGTTGCTCGGTGCCCGTGCAGGCTTGGGTAGTGTTTGTACCCATGGTGGGGAGTAAGCGGTAAACCTCCTGGATACGGAAAGTTACCACCACTAGCAGAACACAGAGTGTCTGGGTTTGATATGAACCATCCGCCTGCAACCAACAAATGGACACCAATATGATTTACATAACACTGCTAACATAATGCTATACTTATTTCTTAAACATGTCTGTAAATCAGCCAAAAGCACATTATGTAAATAGAAAAAAACCCAGGAAAATGAATGACTAACAGTGCGGTATGCCCACATGCTGGTTTTCAGCTGGAGGTTCTAGATGATTCTTAGGATGGCTCCTATAGAGAGAAAAAGCTTTGTGCATGAGACAAACCTCAAATCCAGAACTCATCTATCATAATGGTTAATATTCATATAATAATCACATACACTATTGTTCAAGGTTGGGATTAAGACGTTTTAAATGTTTTTGAAAGAAGTCTCTTATACTCACCAGTGTTTTTGATAAAAATGCAGTAAACGCAGTAATATCGTGAAATATTATTGCAATTTAAAATAACTGTTTTCTATTATAATAGATTTTAAATGTAATTTACAGCTTGAGTTTTCAGCATCATTACTCCCAGTCTTCAGTGTCACACGATCCTTCAGAAATCATTCTAATATGCTGATTTGCTGCTCAAGAAACTTTTATTATTATTAATTAAAAACAGTTGTCCTGCTTAATATTTTTATGAAAACTGTGATACTTTTTTCTCCACATGATTCTTTGATGAACAGAAAGTTCAAAAGAACAGCATTTGTTTTTAGTAACATTATAAATATCTTTACTGTCACTATCGACCGACTTGATGCATGTTTGCTCAATAAAAGTATAAAAAATTCTTGTGAAAAGTATAGCGTATATAAAGATTCTTTACATTATAATGAGTCTGTTCTACTTTAGATTTTTTTCACTATTTATATTCTGAGGTGAATCATGTGACACCTGTTAGGTTTTTATTGAATGTACATCCTTTCACAGGTAAATACTACATAACATATCTTATATTTTTTTGTTGTCTTGTCATTTCCTGACATATCATTTTTGATTTTTCATCATTACATACATTTTGTAATTTAAATTTCAGAATTCATATTTTACTGGTGTACGGACTGTGGTGGAAAAACTATTTAATCATGAACTCATTACTGTAATGCAAAAAAAAGATATAAGAATATATTATTTAAGTGGTAAAGTTTTATATTTCATTCAAAGTAATATTTTTGTTTTACTGCATTTAATTTCTGTTCATTTAAATATAAATTGAGTCTGGAATCTTTCTTTTTCAATTGTCATGAATATAATGTAACAATGCAAAATATGATAATTGTTCCTAAAATATGCATTGATTATATATGCATATTATATAGGTGTATATCATTTTCTTTATGCAAAATAGAACTACCTTTCTCATCCCTATTTTCTATTTTTGGGGTTTGAATGTTCATGAGATTCACGTTCTAATAGTTGAAATTCACACTGTACAGTAAAGTCTCACTTGAGTAGGTTTTCAGAGGAGTTATGTTATGACTACATTTACTGGAGTACAATAATTCAGCGCTCATTCCACCAACATTGTTGTGTAATATCTCACACATTCTTCACTGTAGCCGCTTAAAATCTCTGACTCTCACTTCACACTGCCTCTCCAACAAGCTCCTTTACTCACACACTCACTCGATTCAAAGCATAAACGTTTAATAATTGGTCGCTAATCACGGCTGATTCCGCACAGTCATAGTAGCTTGACTAGTGCTAATGCCCGCTATGATAGTATTAGGAGTTGAAATACGCATTGTTAAATCGGTGAGAAAACTTATCTTCTGACACTGACGGTGTATTGTGTTTAATGTCATTGAAATGAACTGTACCTATCCTTTGCATCAAGGAAAGCTTTAGCAAACGGATTGTGTTTAATCTTCAGTGCAGTTATCTGTGAAGGGAAGAGCAGAGGATTGTGAGCATAAAATATATCTTGCACAACATTGGTGAATCAATTATTGTACATACAAGCATTATACTTAGCATTCAACAAAACAAACACGTAGGTTCTTCTTAAAAGGTACGATTCCCATTTTCACCTGAAAAATTTCTGTCATGTGATTTCATGATTTCAGAAGTTGTGTGGACCACTTTTTATTTTGTATTTTAAAAGACACCTTGGTCATTATTCACTGTCATTGCATGGAAGCAAGCAGCACGAACGTCAAGATTTGTGGAAGAAAGAAATGTGTCTGTTTTTTGGAATGACATGAGAGTGAATAAATTGTTACAGAAATGGGTGAACTATGCCTTTAAGTACGTTTACGCTAAATGTTTGGTGAAGATGCTCTAACCTCTTCATTCTGGTAGGCCGTTACAGCGATGAACTGAGTGTCTGTGTAAGAGATGTTGGTCACCATCCTGTGGCTGCCTCCAACACGAACAATGTGAATCTGAGGCTCGTACTTATGGAGAGAATTCAGCATGATCTAGACCAGGTAGACAGAACAGAAGAGAAAAGTAAGAAAGAATTGGGTTCTTTGCAAGTGTATATACCGACTTTAGCTAATGTAGGTCCATACTGTACCAGTACATTCAGTATTTTAAACCAATTTTAATGGAATGAGGTATCAAAGAGGATGCAGAATTGCAAATAGGTTTTGAAGGTAAAGAAGAATTAAAACAGATTGAAATCCAAAGCAAAACTGCTATATGGCTATAATAAAACATTAGATTTTTTTCAGTATGAATGACCCATATTTCAAAGAACATTACTTTAATTATATAAACATAAAAAATTGTACTCAGCAAGAATGCATACATTAATCAAAAGTGACAGTAAAGACATTTATGTTATAAAAGATTTCCATTTCAAGTAAATGCTGTTAATTCACTTTCTATTCATCAAAGAATCCTGAAAAAAGTGTATCACTAATTCCACAAAAATATTTCAGTGTCATATTTCAACACAGATAATGAAAAGAACCATTATTAATAATTAAGCACTAAATCAGCATATCAGTATGATTTCTGAAGGATCATGTGACACTGAAGACTAAAGTAATGGCTGCTGTAAATTCAGCTTTGCATCGCAGGAATAAATTACATTTTAAAATATATTCAATAGAAAACGGTTATTTTAAATTGTAATAATATTTTTGCTGTATTTACTGTATTTTTGATCAAATAAATTCAGCCTCGGTGAGCATAAGAGACTTCTTATATATTTATTACAGCCACTTAAAGCAGTTATATGAATTGCTTTGATTTTCATTCCATCCAATTTGATAGATTTAAAGCTCAATATAATTACTAATTTAATAATATATCAATAGATACTAATTTTAATGTCAACTTTTTTGTATAAAGTTACTTGGCATAAAACAGTGGCTATTTTGTAGTGCTATAAGGCAAAACTATTTTGGTGTTTGTGTTAATTGTTTTGACAGTAACCGAACTTAGTTAAGAGCAATACATCTAATCAGATGAGAAGTAATGTATTTTCTATATCAAAATGTAATTATTTATGTTTATGTATAGTTATAATACTCCCAAGTCATCAGCTGAAAATTTGTACAGTTTCACTATACTGTATATTGGTAGGTCTTTACATTTAGACACTGCATTGTCTCTGTTTTTTGTGTGAAAAAATTCTTCGGATGACTGCAGTGACCACGTCAAGCACAGATAAATCTATCGACCCGAATTCTGAGAAAGAGACGGATGGAACGAGAGAGAAAAGCAGCATTTTTTTACTCTAATTGGTGGATTACAATGACTGATGAGGGGCAGGTACTCATCTGCATGGCTACAGAGGACATAAAGGGCTTTGTGTGCTTTTCTCTCCCTGCTGCCTTTTTTAATATGTTGCCTTTTTGAACATCTAAGGACTGATGGCTAAATTAATTTTGCATAGAAAAAACAGAGGTAATTACCATAATGTACAACTAACCACAGCAATTATTTCATTTAGAGCTGGTTCTCTCTCATCGTCCTCTCCGCTGCCAGCTCTGCGTTTAAAAACCCCGGTAAATAGGGAACAGACAGGAATAGAGGAGAAGAGGATAGGGTGGCGGGGAGGGCGCAGGGGAGGGGTCATGTAAATACCAATAATAATTTGGTGGCGGAGTCATACTCGAATGGAGCGGGCTGGAGCACCTCGCAGCGGCCCCGCTGAAAGCCAGGATGGCTAGCTGAAGTAGACCACTCTCTGTCTGAACGGCAGGAAGTGCATTAAACGAGAAAAGTGGCAATTAAGAGCTGTTTATTCCTGTTTACATGCAGTCCCTGCTGAACAAAGGGGCTCCATAGGTGAAGTGGATGCAGAAGAGTGCACTAATTGTATAAATGCACACTTGAAATTTCCCCGTGGCAGCGCACAGGGTGATTAAAGGCAGGCCAAGACTCCTAAAAGCTAGAAGCCTGTTTGGACACACAAGAGCCCTGAGAGGCTACTCAAGATTACGGAACAGGTCACATACAGCATTACACACCTGCACAACATGAGCGTTACATGTGCAAAATGTGCAGGGGGTCTTTGTTTTCTTAGGCTTTTTACGGGGAACAATTTAACAATGTGATTAGATGAGAAATCAGTCGAAGAAAGTGCAGTGGAAACTTATGTTAGCTATAAAGATAGTCAGTTCACTGTGTATGTCTTGTATGTGTCAGCATTTCAGCACCTGGCCGCCTCCGTTGAGTTTGTTGGTCAGTTTGACTTTGTTGAAGGACACCGGAGCTTTCATCCAGTGGGCACCGAAGTTGGGCGAGTCGGGGTGGATGTAGACGCAGCTGTGACTGTGAGGCTCAGGTTTGCCCGCAGGGACCCACTCGCCGTTCACGTACTTCCAGCGGTGCCCGTCTGCAGGACTGAAGTCCAAGAGGAACGAATACATGGCGTTGGGATCCAGACCCGTCACGCTGACCTTCAGAATTGGAAACATCCTCCTACAAAGGAGGAATCATGACAGAAGAACTACTTAAAATGCTAATTGGAGCTCCTAAAAATGCCTTTTCAAAGTAATAAATAAAACAAAGATAACTGAAGTATGTTTTACAAGAAAATAAAATTTCAGTCTTGCAACTTTTTTCTTTCAGTCTTTCTACCTTTAGTCTTTCTAATAATTTCATGTTTAATTCAACGTGTTCCTTGTAGGTTCTTGATAATTATTTGTGAAATTTAAAAAAGTGTTTCTGAACCAGTTGTACGCTCTTAAAATAAAGGTTCTTTATTGACATCGATGGTTCCTTCAACAGCCATGGAACCTTTCCATTGCACAAAAGATCTTAAAGGGATAATTCATCCAAAAATGAAAATTTGATGTTTATCTGCTTACCCCCAGGGCATCCAAGATGTAGGTGACTTTGTTTCTTCAGTAGAACACAAACGAAGATTTTTAACTCAAACCATTGCAGTCTGTCAGTCATATAATGGAAGTGAATGGCAATCACGGCTTTGAGAGTCAAAAAAACATACACTAACAAAACCAAATTAAACCCTGCGGCTCGTGACGATACAGTGATGTGTAAAGACACGAAAGGATCGGTCTGTGCAAGAAACTGAACAGTATTTATATTGTTTTTTTTGTCCTCTGCAATGTTCATTTACTGCAATGTCCGAACTGTCCTGGGCGCGTCTTCTTCAGCCGGCGCGTGACGCGTCTTCTTCTTCTTGCTTTACGGCGGATCGCAGACTTATAAGTGCATTACCACCACCTATCTCTCAAATGGACCATTGACACTCTATCTACAATCTCAATTTAGGAGTGTCAATGGTCCA